GGGGCCCGTTGTGGATACGGTGCTGCGGGGAAAGCCCGCGACCTGCGTGAGGGAGAGCCGGCCGGGCCGGGCTGTGTCTGCTGCGGGTGGGGTGGTGTCTCGGGTGGCACAAATCCCTTCTGGTTTTCCCAGGAGTTGCTGTCTCCATCGCAGCTCCTCTTCCTTTCGGTGGCAGGTGCTGTGCGCTCGGCCGTGTTGGATACCCAAAATTAGGGGTCGTTTTGGAAGAGGTGACCGTGCCCTGTACCCGTCGTCAGCTTCGTGTTAATTGTTCGGGGTGGCAGCAGAGAGGGCTTTGGGGTGACGAGTGAGAGGAGTGTAGGTTGGAAGGCAGAGGGAACAGGGCAGTCAGTGGGACATTGTTTTTTGGCTTTGCTTTTCCTGTCACAGCAGCATGTGCCATCGTGGAAGTCCGCTGATGCCTGTCCGCCCTCCTATTTTTACAGGATTTACAATACCATTCAAATCGCACCTTCAGAAAGGTGGCCAGTTAGCACCAAAGGTGCTGGAGCAAAATCCTGGCCCCAAAGAACTGCAGGTTCCAGGGAGGTTTTGGAGCTAGAGATGTACTTTGGTGTGCGAGGCCTTCTCTTTAATTAAAACGAGCATGAGAGGAAAAAAGGGCAGCCCTTCTGTCCGCACAACTGCTGGGTGTGGCTGCTGGCCTGGCCTTGGCTCCACCAACCCCACCAGGGACCTACAGCACCCATGTCGTTGGCGTATGTGCCATTTGCACGTTCTCTGGGGTGAAGGTAGTTCCCGTGCAGGGCTGAGGTCGGTCCTGACCCCCCTCATACCAGCGATTGCCACCCAAAGGGTGAGCCCGGCGCGCAGCCCTCTGCCTCTCCTGTTCTCCAGGGTGGCCACTGGTCTGAAAGCCGCGTAGCCCTGCCTGCGCAGCCATGAGCTCAAGCTAATGAAGTCACGCTTGTCAGGGAAAATTATTTGCTCAATGAAGCCGGTTCTGATGGGAAAGCTCTTTCCATACACTTGGGAACCTAAAATCTTGAGGGAGGTGGAAGGGGGTGTTGAAGGGCAGAGTGGAGAGGTCTTGAATGTGGCCGCGGCAATTTAAATCTCATTACCCCAAGCAGCATTTGTCCTGTCATTAAGATGGGCTTTGTATTTTTAGAGTTCAGTTTCTAACTACGTCACTTGATTTGAAGGTCCTACAGCCCCCTACGACATTGATGCATTTACCATGTGAATTTTTATTCATTTATGTGGAAGGAACAAAACACTGTTATCTGTAAAGCACAGTGTAATCCTGTAATCTCTCTAACCAGAGTTTTGACTGCAACTTTTTAAAACAGGTCTGATGCTAAACATCTCTGGCAAAAATTTGCTGAGGAGGTGAATGTATTTACAGTGGCAAAACAGTGCGTGTATGTCTCTCTCCCAAATTTCCTTCTGAAGTACTAGGCTGAAATTAGGCAGAAAAATGTGGTTTTATGGAAAACTAAATAACTTCATCGGTTCAATTTGCAATATTATTCAATCTCTCTTTTCCAAATCCTGCCAACCACGATTTTTTTTAATGTGTTTTTGAGGGAGTTTTTAAGTTTCAGGGGGGTAAATGAAGTACAGGGAGGTTTGCAGTCTCAGGGAGGGTCAGGAGTTTAGCCCAGAGCCTGCTTTTAAAGCTCTGCCATCCCACTTCTGCTCCCTGGTAGACAAGGAATTTAGTGCCATGTGCTCTCTCTTCTTCCCCTTGCTCTTTTTCTCACAGTTGTGCTGTGTCTCTTTCTATGGCCACATGAACTGGAAGGGGAGAACAGCAGAGAGCTCAAGGAATGACAGGGAAGATATTTTTAGCCAGAGTGGAAGTTTAAGTACTGGAAAGGAACGACACGGTGAAAAAGCCCTGTGAATACTTAACTTGGTCTAGCATGGACTGCTGCCTCTTTTTGTCACGAAGATCTGCTCCTATCTCATGTTGACTCTGCTGATGAAAGCTGTGACTTTTGATTATTTTTCCAATCGTGTGTGACAACTTGCAAAATGTATACTTTTTTCATGTATATATATATTTGGGTTTTTTTTTTTAATATATGTGAGAGAGAATCAATGTACTCTGAAACTCTGATTCCTTCTTTCCAGCTTTTTAATAAATGTTGATTAAACCTTATACTTTCTGTAGTATTGATTCCCTCTGTTCCCAGGTTATTGCCTTTGTGGCAAATAATTTTTAGGTTTGTGGATTTTTTAATTTTTTTTTTTTAAATTCCCATCGAAGGGTGTGTTTTTGTGCACAACTGTCCCTTATTGGAATAATCTGTCCCTTATTGGATATTAGTCTAACTGAAATGTCAGTGTTTCTTCAATCTGCTGCCGCTTCCATTTTCTTCCTCATTTGTCTGAAGCTGCCAGGAAGAGGAGGGGGGGAAGAAAAAAAAAAAAAAGGTGTGGCAAGATTGCTGTTAATATTTCTTTACTTCCCAGCTGTAGATGTACACTTTAAATAGCATGACTCATCTTGCACATCCTTTGATCTCCTGTGACTGATTTAAAATGCTGCTTCCCAGCGGGCACAAGGTGGTTTTACTTTCATTTGCAACTCTCCTTCTCAAAGTTTCTAGTCCCAACTTTGAGCGAAAGTAAGAAAGAAAGAGCAAATAAATAAATCAGCCTGGCTGAACCTGGGGAGAATTTGCCTTCAGCTGTTTGTCACAATAGGTTTTGGATGACTGGTTTATGTCAGAAAAATAAGTCGGTGTTTTGGGTTTTTTTTTCTCCATTTACTTTGATTGTATGTTTGTGGGTTTTTTTCCTTTTCCTTGACTTTTCTTTCTTTTTTTCATTGCAAGCATCTTATTAGGGAATCTTTCCCATCCCTTGTCAGGTATTATTATTTACAGAGAAACTTAGCTGCATGTGCAACGGGGAATGTGCTCTTGTAACCTGTGGCTTTCCAGATTTTGAATTCAATTTGTTCTTCTGGATTTCAGAGAAACAAGAAGTCTTAAGATTTAACTGCACTTTAATCCAGCAGCTGGTTCCAGCTAGAGATCTGTAATCGAGGCTTACTGTAAAGAACAATACAGAACATAACAAAAATGTGATGTGGATATCAGTTCTGTTTAATGTATGTGTATTTATTTTTGTTTTGCTTTAAATCCCAGAACTTTGTCTTTATTTCCTGTTGTGTTTTGAATTCCTGAAACAGAATAAAGTGATTACATACAATTTAAAGTAGCTGCATCTAAACTAATCTTATTCTTGGAGGTCGAGGACGCCAGTTCCAACTCCTTAGATGTGGAAGGGGAGCGTTCTGAGCCGTAGGTGCCCTCGAGCTGGTAGCACAGCTCCTCTTGCCTGTTTCCTCATCTGTAGACAGGGTCTAAAGCTCCTTGCCTTTCCTAACTGTGTTTCCCAGCTCATGAAATACTTGTCAGGCATGATTTCTTGTTGCTCAAATGTAATGATGTACTATAGCCTCCTGTGAAATGCAGAATGCTTTCCTTTCCTTTCGTGCTGTGCTGAAGAGGCGTATTCCTGCTTTTTTTTTGGCTGAATCAGCATGTCAGAATTGGTGGCATGTCCCTCAGTATTCCCCAACACCCACCTGAAAAAGGCTCATGGATGCTTTATGGAATGAAGCATCTGGGCCCTCAGGCATTCAGGGTCTCTCCTCCGCTTTCAAGACCAGTTTCATGAGAATAACTTTTCTAGACAGTGATGGTTGGAAAAGATGATGCAGATTTGTATGCTGTGAGTTTTAGTATAGTGGAGAAAACAGGACCATGTGTACAATCCCCAACAACAGCATGAATGTCTGAAGCTTTGAGCTTTTTCTCATCAGCTTTCTCTTTGGCTTACCTTAGGGCTGGGCTTCAACATTGTTGGTGGGACAGATCAGCAGTACATTTCCAATGACAGCAGCATCTATGTCAGCCGGATCAAAAAGGATGGGGCAGCTTACCTTGATGGCCGATTACAAGAAGGAGATAAAATTTTAGCGGTAAGCCCTTTCTTCTGTTGCCCCGTGTGTTCCTGAAATACTGTGATCAGTGATGTGATACGAGGTGCAAGTTTGCCATCGCAGTGCACAGAGAGGAGGGATGTGATGAATGCAATTAGATGATGGAGGAGCTATCTTGGGGATCTGGGGAGAGCTTTGAGCACTAGCGAGATGAGTGCCTCTGCACATGGGCCCATCTCTTCTGCCTTCCTGATTTGTCTCAGAAGCACTCCTTGGTGCTGCGTTTGTATTTCCTCTGTGACTCTCTAAAGTTTTAGAATCCATCAGACCTTCTCTTGCTCATAACGGATCATCATTTACACACATGTCAATAAAGGTCTTCCACCTCTAAGTTTCCATTTTTTGACTGGTGGTCCATGTTTACCGATCCTTTTGCTCAGGGGGATTTTTAGGCTATAGAACTTCCAGGCCATAAAACTCTTCATTTCAGCTCATCAGGAATAATACAGGTGGCTTCTCCTTTTAGAAAAATGTTTTAAAGTGACTGAGGTTCAGTCCTGCTGGTTCATCAGACAGTTGGCAATCATACAAGACAATACGCTTTACAAAGTGATGAATGAAGAAGTAGCCTCTCCTAGTGTGATACGTGATCTTTTAACACTCCTTAATTTTATTTTATTCTTGCTTATTATGTTCCACATGTAATCTTTTTAGCCTCTATAGAGTGTCTTGCACTACTTGGAGCCTATTATTGATCCAGGAAATAATACTAAGTTAAATGGAGAGCATTATCCTATCTTTTCTTGACAGTTTAATATTTACGTATTTGTGTTTAGGGAGTTTAAATATCAAGAAAGGCACTTAGATGTGATCTCAGGGGATACAATTAGGGATAATGGGGATGAAAAAGAAAAATTAGGTTGAATATCATCAGTTAGTGAATGAAGTCAAGTAGGTTATAAAACCTTCTGCCATGAGATACTATTTTAAATTAAGAAAAATCCTAACACATTAAAGTGGATGCCAATATGCGTGCAAGTCTTTTTGTTTTGTTTTGTTACATCAGTATGCTTTTAAATGTATGTTTACAACACTCTTTCAAAGAGAAGGGTTTCAAAGGTAGACCAGTAGAGAGAACAATGTGGGAAAGAGACTCATAATAATACTTTTGCTGTAGCTGCTCTTTTATTTTCATTAGCTGTCAGAATTATGCCTTTGATTTGTTGCCAGTAAAGCAAGAGTATAAGAAGCTGCTATTGACACAACTGTCGTCTTATATTCTGATTTTTGCTTCTAGGTAGTTTTTTTTTCAGTACCTCTGTGTTTTGGCTTGGAGTTTCTCATGTTATCTCTCAATGTATAAAAATACATCTATCATATGAATGGATGAATATGGATCTTGATGATTATATTATCATGCCCATGCAGAATTTTGTGAAAGAGGAAGATTTTTATCTCCTGTCCTTCCTATGTTAGCCTGCATCATTAAAAAATTGCTTTTTGCCCTTCAGCAACTGGTTCTTCTTTTCCTTTTTTGCTAGATCAATGGCAGAGACTTGAAGGATTTGCGGCACAAGGATGCTGTGGAACTGTTCAGGAATGCAGGCTATGACGTGTCTCTGAAAATTCAGCGCAGGGTATGTTTTACCTGTTTCTTAGGGTTATTTCTGGCTCAGTTTAGACTGGTTTCTATGATGGATAGCTCTCTGTTCCATGAGGCAGAAAAATAGCATGTCCAGGTGCTCAGTGTGAATTACATGTATAAAGATTTTGTTTGAACTACGGCCTTCTCTAGTTGACCACAGCTGTAATCATCCATGCATTACTTGTTCGTAACAATATCAGTGAAGACGTGAGTTTGGAGAAGTCCCCAGGTCTTTGTTTTGATGGACTGTGGTGTATTTTCTCACAGATCTCCTTTCTCGGTGGCAAAGGTTTGTCTGTGAAGACAGAATCTCAGGTTCTCCAGTTTTGTTTCAGAGGCCAAAATCTTACTGGAGACAAAACTCCAGCTCATCACCCATGCTAGTGTTCAGATGTGTGTGCAGCCCACCACAAAGGAACAAATGTCGGTGCTATAGTTTAAATATACTGGATATAGAAAGAGTAGAATACTTAATCCACTGTTATAATTTGAACATCCCTGGCTAGCATGGAAGTTGACAAAGGAAATGCTGATCAGCCTGAAGCATGCTGATGGGGAGAGGTGGGTTGAGGCCCCTTTTCTACTCCCTTAGTAAAGGAGTAAATCTTCTGGACCAGTGTACAGGGCAGGTAAGAAAAACAGAGAGAAGAGTGATGCCCTTTTCCTGGTAAAGACACCAGGAAATGGTGTGGTGGGAAGTGCACCAAGGGATGACTGGGTATGTGTGTGTCATTGCTTCTGCTGTATGGGATGTACCCTGCTCCAGCTGTTAGAGTCCTAGTGTACAAAGTGGCAGAGAAACACGAGGGTGCCTGGTAGTGACTGGGTACCCTGCAGTAAAGCTTAATCCATCCAAAGCGTTCTAACCCTTCCATGTGTGGAGTGTACAGATACCCAGGGAAACCATCTTGCACAAACCCACCTGGTCCTGAGACAGAACGGGGGGCACTCCTGTGGTGGGCTCTGACACAAATACTTTTTTTTTCCTTGTAGTTGCAGCCACAGAATGGCCCTGTGGGTCATCGAGACGATGGAGAATCAGGTGGGCTTCCTCTAGCAGCCTTTCTTGTGCCAGGCCTGGCGCTTGCTGCGGCAGCGGTCTGGATCTTGCTGAGGTATCGACAGCGGATATGAAGAGTTCACGTTTTGGATATCACTGCGTATTTTACACAGCTATGATGTAATTTAAAGATAGAGAATCGACGATCTTATCACAGACTGATGTCAAAAAGGATCATTGCCTATCATAAAGCTGCTGCTGATGTTCTTTATGTATTGATTTTGTTCAGGGTGGATGGAAGCAGAAAGGAAGAGGGGGAGGGAGATGACTGTGTTCGTGTATAGAGCGGGATAGCTGTTTTTTTGACTAATCTGAGGAGGTTTTGCCATCCCCCTCTATTTTGCACAATGAACTTTCAAACACACTCATCTATTCCATGTTTTAAGATGTGACTTTTGGTTAAAGGGAGTGGGGGTTGGGGTGGTTTTAAATCAAAAACATTTACTAGAGGTTTTGCCTTGTTTCCACTGAATTTGTCTTGAAACTAATGATCCCTGTCTGAACCTCTAATAAAGAGAAGCAATGCAGAGGGTATATTATTTTTTCCATTGAATTTTTGTTGGTTGTTGCTAAATAAATGCCTTAAGAAAAATGTATAAAATCTAATCTGTGGTTTCACAGGTAAAATCATCAGTGTAGCTGCTGATTTAATAGTAATATGCAGTATTGGTGAGGTATTCTACCAGTTCTGGCTACCTTCTGTCTTTCCTGCTGCTAGAAAAAGACTTTGATTGTCAGAATGACTGCTCATTCTTGGGTCAGAGTTGTAAGGGAAAGCTTTCCACAAAATGCTGGCATACTGGAGAGAGACAGGCAGACAATTGAATCACAAGGATAAGCCGTGGCAAGAGATTTGGGCATGCAGAAGCTGCAGAAGAGTCTTTAAATTAGTACTGAAGCAATAGTCCCTCCATCCGTCAAGTGGGTTGAAGTCTGCATCTCTCAGGTTAAAGGTCTGTTTTGGGGGTTATTTTTTGCATGTGGAGTACTTAGAAGTTTTTTGTAGCATCAAACTTGCTCTTTGCAGTCAGAAAATCTTATGATGATTGAAAGGGAGAAGTGGAGAGCATGCTGGGATCATCCTGGCTATTGCTTGTTTGTGAAGACTGATGTGATGTTCAGGACATAGACTGGTAGGTGTAAGCCAGGGTAAGGCTTGGCGAGTAAAACCAAAGGAAGAGACGCTTGCTCTGAAAGTGTCGTGAATTTGCTGAATTTACCTGCAGGGTCTCATCTCCTCACTGTGATTTGAATGGTTTTAAATGCCCCAGCTGACATGAGCTCTGGGGGGTAAGACCTGTTTCTCTTGTCTCCAAGAAATCAATGTCTTTTGTTGTTTTTGTAAAAGAAAAGCAAAATGCATGGTCTGGTCTATATGATGCCAAAAAAAAAAAAAAATCACATATGCAATATATGTTTTCAAACAAAGAAAAACTGGTGTCTTGGTGCTTTACTTCTCTGTATTCTTTATTATTCTAGCAGGACATTGCCGATGTATTTGAAATTGTTTTGTGTTTGTTAAGGGCTATATTCCTGCCATCTGCTGGAGATAGAAATGGTATGCTGTTATACATGACATTCTTAAATCACCACGGAGTTTCAGAGCACTTAGACCACATGAAATCTTGCTTTGGCCTATAAATTGGTCTGGTGTAAGGGGAAGAGGAAACAGGAGGAATTTTGCTCAGTGTTCTTAGGGGACTTTGGGAAGAGATTGGAAGTTTGGTGAACGTCCATTGGTGTTGGATGGTCTGAGCCAATGCATGCAGTGACTTCCCTTGGCCTGCAAACCAGTTACACTTGATGGCAGAAGGGCTGCTGTTGGGACTGCTCTTTGCAGATGCAGCACGAACCAGCTTGCTCGTCTGCAGCCTGCTCTGAATATTTGGCTGGGGTGTCCGTGTGGAGCACACGTGTGTATTAAGACAGATGATTAAAAGTTAATGCTGTATCGCAGCTATCAGAATAAAGATGCAGGCAGTAAGAAAAAGGTCTGGGACAAACATATTTTATCCCTTGGCCTGAGTCGAGTTTCTGTGAGAGGAAGTATGTGGAACAGGTGAGGAGGAAGAGGATTTGCGGGAGTGGTTAGTTTTACTCATTTCCCATTGAAGTAAGCAGAGAACGCAATGCCTTTAGGGTTTTTTGTTTGGTTTGGTTTTTTACCTTTCAGCTTTGGGATTTTGATACTGTTCAGACATGATTGCCATCTGTGTTGCAGGCAGTTTATTATGGGGGGAGGGTTATAACCAATGCCCAGATAACTGATGTGGCTTACGGAGCAAGAAAAGGCCCTTCTGGTGCATGCTGTTCCTTTGGATTTCTTTTCACAATTACTGAATAATTATAACACTGCAGCATTAATTCAGTCGCTTTTCCAGAAGTCTGAATAGTAGTTTTTACTCTGGATTTAAACCATCCAGTCTAACCCTCAAGAACACCTTTGTGTGTCTGTGGCCTTTAAACCACTGCCCGAGGAGTGCCAAACAATCCCTTTTCCAATCCCCAGCCACCTCTTGTCCCATTTGTTCACAAAATCCTTGTGGAAAATACACCTCAACCCCAAACTCTTCTGTAAGCTGTGGCTCATATTACTTTCTTTCAACAGTTGGACTGTCTCACCTAAACTTTGTGTGTTTTCCGAAGTCTTTTCCACCATGTGATTTCTGTAGCCTTGATTTCATCTTTACACTGAACGCTGTATATACATTTTCTGTCATTGTGGAAGAAGTGCATTAAAAGAACATCTAATGAGGACAGCTTGTAAATGCAAGTGATCAGAGAGAGTTTTAGTTTTTGTTACAACTTAAATCTCTGGGTTTTGAAAAAAAGATAAGTTGAAATCTTGAAGACAAACATAAAAAGCATCCTAACTGTAATTTATATGTCTTTTTTTAAGAACTCATTTGCCATTAATACTGAGGGCAGCCGAGACTCTTAAATCCCTCATTCTCATCTGTTCCCTCAGCCTTATTGTGAACTTTCTGACCTGCTGGAGCCTGGATTTTCATATTCATAGTTCAAAGACAAATCCATCTAGTTTGACTTCCTGTACATTCTAGGCATTTGTGTCTCACAGAGTCTCCTGAATTGTATGTGCTAATAATACGTATTTGACTTAGGCGTAACAGTGAGAAAGAGCAGCCAGACCTGATCTGGGATCTAGGAAGATGCACTACTTCTGGCACTTTTTAATTAAAACAAACTAGAAGGGAGCACGTGGGAGGGAAAGGTGCCTTGCTTTCAGTTTGCCTTTAGGTTCCAACAACTGGTTTGTTAGGTTGTTCTGTGCTAGATTAAAGAGGCCTCTAATAACTGATAGTCACTCCCTGTGAAGGGGTTTGTGTGTTGTAATTGCCTTACCTCTCACATTATTTTTAAGAAATGAAGCCAGCTGAGCCCTTTACAATTCTCAGTGTAAGATAATTTCTCTCTTGGTGTAGTTTCTGTGGCTTTCTGCATCCGTTCCAGTGTTTTGTTGCTTTGTAAAATCCAGACACCCCACCATGTGCAGAGTCTCACCACTGAGCATGGCAATGCTTTATACTAGCAGCTTTCCGTGTCATTTTTATCTCCAAACCCTTAAATTATTTTTTTTTGGGGGGGAAAGGTGCTGACACGTTCAAAGCAAATTTAAGCCAACTCCTAAGAGCTGGCTTTTCTTAAATAACTTTTACAAATCTCTTAGAAGTGGTATACAGCTTTCCCCTTCTTCATTTGCTTTCTCGAGTGCCCTAAGGAATCTGTAAACCACAGAATAAACACCATTGCCACATGAGAGGTAAATTGTCTCAATTCTGGTTTGTAGATCAGAAGAGCAATCCCTTTTGGTCATAGCATGACACTAGAAATGAGCGTCAAATGCCTGTGTATCCTGACTTCTAAATCCTCGTCTATACCCAGATGTGACCCGCGTGGTATGGGTGAAGGTGTCTGACTTCGCGTTTTGTTGAATGACTGGACCTCCTATTTGAATTGGCCGCGCACATTGGCAGGCCCAGGTTATTCTCTGCCGTGTCTGCTGCGTTATTCACTAGTCCCCTATCTTCAGCAGTTTTGTCTTCTGTCAGATCATTGGTGAAAATACTCTGTGGAGTTTGGTACAGAGGCAACTTCCCCCCGTGGTTATGATTTTTCAGTAACTGTTGGTATCTCCTGATGATTGGATTATTTGTCTGTGTAATGGATGCATTTTGATAGTGTATAGCATTGATTTTTTTTAAAAAAATACGTGTATTGGCATGTTGCATATTAGTTCGTAGATTACATCTGAATGGTCAGCAAACTTCATCTGTTCTCTTGCAGGCAGAAGCTGATACAAGGTTAATTAATCAGGCCAGGTGAGCTTTATGAGCCTGTCTCCCTCTAATTTAGTGATGTGGGTTTTACCTCTGGAAGTCCTTTTCCTCTACTCAGGTTGAAGGAAAGAGCAGATAACTTACTAATGGGACAGTATCCCTCAGGCTGGGGGCCCAAGGGAAGGATTACATGGAGAAGTTTAAAGGAGGGCCTTAACTATACCCTTGTCCTCAGGGTTTCCCTCAAGACTAGCTTTAGGCAGACTCATGCTGCATCCCTGCTGCCGTGCTTGGTACATGTCCTCTCTGGAGCTCTGCTGTCTCTCCCCACGTGCAGCTGAGGAGGACTCCAGGCCTTTCAAAGCTTCCTTGAAGACAGATCCACGTACGATGAGAACGTACACTGGTTTAAATGAAGAACAATGTTGTGCAGACTCAAAATGTCTTTCCTCATCAGATTTGAAAACTTTTGTCCTTGCTGCTGCAGCTGTAACTGATTGCAGGCAAACTTCACTGTAGAGCGAGCTGTATCTCTCTTACCTGGCTGCCAAAACCAACTTTCCTAGGCTGGTACTCTTAGTAAAAAGAAGAGTAACCGTGCCAAGTATGCAGGGTAATTATTCAAAGTGGCTTGTGAATGGTTGGAGATCATTCACCAAGCTTTCACGCTTGTGTTTATGTCCAAGTGTTCCAGCCATGTTTCCCGTTGGTAAAGTTCTCTTCCCTCTCGTCCC